TTTAAGAGTTTCTTAAATTCTGTTGCTCAGTCAGTTAAACATGAAAAGAATCCGGATAGTCTTGAGCACAGTGTTTGCCATCCAGCAACCCATTGACAAGTGAAATGATGTCATGACATAAGCCTTTGTGAGATAATTTAGATAGTTGGAAGCACTTTGTGGGCTAAAATCAGTTAGACGATATTGGCAGCTAAGGGAAGCCAGTATAACACTGTGGGTGTTGTGTTCTTTCAGGCTGATTGGAGACGAGACAATCTGCCACATTCAGGGCCACCTGCACAGGCTGTAAGACCAGTTATGTCGTGGGTTAGGAAGTGAGATCTCCTAAAACACTGCACTAGGACCTGGGTAACATGCGGGGTTAGGTCCTGCCTCGAGCAACAGAGTCTACTTGAGCTTCATGTGTCAGCTCTATGTTGGCAGCCATGTTTCTTTCTACCTTTAATGGAGCACGAGGGATTGACTTCCTATGAAGTTTCCATTACCTACAAAACCGCTTAGTACTGATAGATGTGCCCAGCATCCATCTGATCAAAGAAACATGTTTACCAGCATGATGTGATGAAGATATAATAACATTCTTGGTTGTTTAACAGCTTTAAATGCCTTTAAATAGTCTGCATGAGGATAATGATATAGCTTGAAAACCAGGACACAGTGCTTAATGCTGTGTGCATTGGAAAAAAAAAAAAACAACAGGGATGAATGGTGTGATTAGTTTTTAGCCACTTTGGCTCCCCAAGTGTGATTTGAACATGCTCAAAGTGAAATGTCTGCTAACAACAGATAAGGAATATTGATTGATTGTCTGAAAATTGTCCAAGCAACCAATAAAGGCCTGCAAGGTTTGCTACTCTATTTGTAATAATGTAATGGAAATTGTGTATCTCCTTGTGCACTTTTATTCACAATTGCTCTAAGAGGGCAGATCTTTGCTTTGAAGAATGCTGCAATAGAAAGAGCCTGAGACATTATTCACCAAAGGCTCTATGGACTAATGGTCTGTCGGAAGCTAAGAGGTGATGATAACCTTAGCGTCATTGGCAAACTGTTTTCGTAGTTAGGCCCACAGGAAGTCTATTAGCTGACTTTATAGGCACAACAGAGGAATTTAGCAATTATTGCCTCCAGATAATCGCCTCAAATGTAGATATAATGGGATGTGGAGCTCAAAGTGTATGGATGGGGTTTTGTTCCAAGGAAAAAAAACATTTTGCAAATTGAAATATGATACATCCACAATTGTAGGTTTGAAAACATATTAATTAGAAAAAGGTTTTGAGAGTAACTTTGATTTTGTTTTTAAAATTCTTTTTTCAAATTTAACTTTTTATTCAAACTTCTGTTTTTGAGATTGACTTTTAAGAATTGCATTCTTTTCTAATCTCACATCACATCATCTTCAATTATGGGGGCTGGAGTGAGAAATGAAGATGCGGTTCTATTGGTCTGCATACTTTAGCACATTTTTTATTGGTCAATTTGCTCTCCTAAAGTAAGCGTTTGTATTGGGCTTAAAGGGATAAGAATGTGATCTATGAAAATCAATTTGAAAAGAGTGCAATTCTGACACTCGGCTTAAAAAAACAATAATTAAAAATTTTTTTTTTATTTGAAAAGGTAAAATTTTCCATTACAAAATTAGTTTTAACAATTAACAATTTAACATTTCATTTTTATTACTCAAAAACTTACATTTCTATTTACAAAACGTGTTCTTTACTTGCAACAATATTGGAAGAAGCTTCACTCCATAAAAGCTCTCTCTTTCAGATGTTTCAGAGGAAGTCACATGCTCTCATCAGGTCAAAAGACATCCTGCAACTTGAAGAGAAATATCAAGACGTTTCTCATGCCACCATTAGCAATACAAATTTTATATTTTTTCTTGCAGCAGATCATGTTTCTCTCCTCCTCCTCACTTACAACCCTTCATTCTGCAGCACACGAGACGGCGGGAGGTGTTCTCACCATGAGGGCTGTGTCAGAATCCCTGACGGCGGCTGTATTTTCCAGTAAAATCAGCCCCGTATTTATTCAGTCTGTTCCTGTCACAACCAGACATCATTTCCAACGAGGTCATTAATCATTGCTTGTGTTTGACAGGCGAAACCTATCCTCAGCACGCCTGTGCGCTCGTATGGAAGTGTTCATTTCTCTGTGTTCGCTTAGCCTGGCATTTATTCAGTGACAGTCTGACACTGGACCTCGATGATGGCGGGGTGTCAGGCTCCAGCTCCTTGGCCCAGACCCCTGCATTAATGAAGCTGCCATCAGTGGGCTGAACACTTTGTTTCAGAGGGAGCCCCCCCCATGCGTGTGTACGTCTGTGTGCCGCCTCATACCAGCCCCCGCACATCACTGCCCATTGTTTCCTGTTCACAAATAAAGCAGGAATTAATTAGCCAGTTGGCACAACTCCTGTTGCCCCTTCAGTCACTTCAGCTCTCTGCCTCCTCCCCCCTAGGCCAACCTGCTTTGAGACTGAGCATTAGCACCACAAGAAACCACAGGTTTCTTCTTTATTCTGCACCAAAGTAAGCTAAAGAGTTAGCTTGACCAGATCATCCATCACTCTAAGACATTTTTAACAAAGATCTGATGGTCAGATTGCATAAGGAAGGTCACTAAGGTTCAAAAACTTAGTTTTTGAAAGACAAACAGGCCCACAGCATCACAGGTCCTCACTCTACTTACCAGAACACCAGTTCAGTATCCAGCAAATTCCTCTTAGTTTCTAGAGGATGTCCAACGTTTTTTATGGAGTGTTGGTAACCCCCAAGATGCTAACAGTGAGCTTTGTTTCTGGCTAAAAGAAACAGCCCTGATTCCTACATTTCATTTATAGAATTCCTAGAAAATTGAAATTACTTAGAGATTAAATGTAAAAGTAAAGAAAAAATGATCAATGATTATTCCTTTTTATTTATATTTTTTCCCAATTTATCAATAATTGTGTGATGATTGTGTGATTTTGGTAAAGGAAATTATTCATTCCATTTAGATTTTCCACGCTGACATTTAATCAATTCAAAGCACAGAATTTTGAAGTATTTTCCATCTGGAATTACAGTAGTACAAAATTATGAAAATTGCTGTAGGGCATTTTTACACCTATTTATTAGCTGTAAATATGTAGTCCATCTGTTTCTCTGTAGGTTAATAATTGACAGGTTGTTACAGAGGCAAAGTGGTGCATAGGCTGCATAAATACAGGATTTTAGTTCCAGCAAACTCAAAAGATTGAGTAGTAAACAGAAAAATGAAACTAATACACAAACATGAAAAACAAATGTAGGGGAAACAAATGCTAAAAACTGCAATCACAATAAATAGAGAGATGCACAGTTAAAACATGCTGCAAATACATAAATGATGCCAACACAGAACAGAGGCAAGGGAAAATGCTGCAATTAGCGATACCTGCTGCACTTAGCAAAAACAAACTGCAGGTTAAGAAAAGCAGCAAACTAGATCTGCATGATGGAAGCCTTCCAGACCACTAGGGGGTGTAACTATTATTAAATTATAACCATTAGTTAAGGCATATATTTGATTCTAAGAAAGATTAAGTGTAAAATTTATTTTAAAAACCTTACCGTTCCTTTCTCCCTCTAGATTTCCTCTGGAAAGTATCATGTTTATGTTTTTGCTAAGGCTCTGGTCCAAAGGTATTACTTATGTAATGTTTTTTGTTCTGGTCCCATATGAGTTAATGACCCCTAGTTGACTTCTGCTATGCAGCACTAGTTTGCAGCTTTTCTTAACTTGTATTTTTTTATTTTTTTTTTTTTGCTAATTACAGCATTTTCCTTTTGATTGTTTCTTCGTTAACATAATTTATGTGTTTGCAGCATGTTTTCTCTTTTCTTTTTTCTATGCAGCATTTTTTTCTTTGCATGTGATTTTGGATTTTTGTGTCTTTAGGACCTTTTGAATTTGCTTTGAAATCCCTTTATTATTTTACAGCATTTGCACCCCTTGGCACTAAAATCTGTTTGGATAAAAAAAAAAAGGAGAAACCTATGAGATTAAATGGATTATTTCGACACATGAACCAAGCCTTTTTGTGGAGGTTATGAACAACCTCACACCCTCCCACATTCTCAAACGGGTAATCATGTTGACATTGTCACTTTGGCATTGTTAAATTTAGTCGCAGTGCTTAGCAGGTGTAGCAGAAGCCTGCGAGCTGAGTCCTAGGAGGTGTTCCTGCACATCAGAGACGCTGCTTCTGTGTCTGATTAGTTGTCTGCTGTCATGGAGGGCTGCTCCCTGCGTCTCTCTTTCACTCTGTGTGCTTTTTTTTTTTTTATTTCTCCCTGTTCCAGCCACAGGGGACCATTACTGCCTCCTCTTATTCTTTGTTTGGTTTGTGATTCAGCCACTACATCTCAGCCCACCCTCAGCACTTATTCTTGGCCTGAATGTGTCAATTAGGGCCAGTAATAGCTTTTGACCTAAAAGTCAGTAACCACTGTACTTAACTGGATTTCACTGCATTTCTTTTTTTTTGGGGGGCGGGGGGCTTGAATGTGTCAGCTCTAATATTCCTGCTGAGTACATGAAACATCATTCTCTTTATCTAATCACCATACCATCGGAGTTCTTAGTTTTTTTCTGATTCATCTTTCTCCAAGATCATCAAATTTCAACAGATTTCAGTTTTTGTGTCACAATAACCTTACAGTCATACACCTTGAGCTTCCCTGTGATAGAACCACAAACTATGATGTAATTTAATTGTGCTTTATGTGATACACTAACACAAGGCAGTGCAAATGCATGGAGAGGAAGGAGAATCCTGTAGGATAATGGTGTAGGGATGTTTTTCTCTCAGAATGACAGGGAAGCAGGTTATAGCTTATATGATAAATCATTTAAAACGTTTGGGTTTTGGTTCTGTACAACTGAACTGGATTAAATTGTCTGTTTTGCCTGGCTTTGCTCTTTTTTTTTCTTCTCACCCTCCTAACTCCATCTGTCCTGTTCTCCTCCAGGGGACACCATACAAAGGATGAGATCCGCTCCGTTTCCAACCCCTGCAGAATTGGACGCATATGCTAAGAAGGTTGCCAACAACCCCCTCACCATCAAGATCTTTCCCAACAGCGTCAAAGTCCCCCAGCGTAACCACGTTCGCCGTACGGTCAACGGGCTGGATACGTCGGGCCAGCGCTACAGCCCTTACCCCCCCTCTCAGGCCAACGCCAAGACGGGACTCCTCGCCATCGTTAAGGTCCCCACAGTCAAAGGTATCCTGAAAGATTTTGATGGTAGTCGGGTTCGCTTGCACTCGGAAGTGAGTATGAATCCTACCACTGGACCCTACCAAGTGGCTTCAACCAGCACTTTAAACCACCACCCACCTCTGCCCACCCTGCCCCTCCCCCAGCACAGCTTAACCCACCAACAGCAGGACCTGCCTCAGACTTTACATCTACCCCTTTCTCAACAGCAGGCTCACACTCAGAGTCTTAGACACCCTCCTCCTCTGGCCCTACACCCTCAGGGGCCGATCAGACTCCAGACTCTGTCTCAGCACCCGGCCCTCGGCCACCCGCAGGGGCCCCCTGCAGTCATGCTTCAACAACAGCCTCCACATGGGCTGCAGGGGACCAGAAAGCTGCCAGATGGCGACGTGCCACCTAACGTTACCGTCTCTACCTCAACCATTCCACTCTCGATGGCCGCCGGTTTGCACCAGGCCCGTCAGGCTGACCTGAGCACCATTGTGCATCAGCTCAACCAGTTCTGCCAAGGGAGGGTCCAGGGCCCCGGAGCTAGCTCCATGTGTGAGGGCCAGATCGCCAACCCCAGTCCCATCGGTCGCAACCTGCTTATCAGTGCATGCTCCAGGGTTTCCATGCACAGTAACCCCGCCACCCCCGGCTTTCCACCACCCAACTGCATTATCGCCCCCCAAGAAAAAGCCACAGCTCCGATGGGAGCCCACCCCCCATCCAGTGTGGCTGGTATGAACCACTTGCCTTCCAACCACGCTGATCCAAAGCATCAGCAGCACATGCAGCAGCATATTCACCCCCAACAGAATCAGCTCCAACATGCCACCCAGCAGCAGCAGCAGAAGATGCGCTCCTGGAACCCCCATCAGCTGGCTCATGTCCCCCACATTCAGAACGGCTTGACGCACCTCTGCAAACAGCCTTCTAGGGACCCATCCTTCCATTTTAAAGGCATGGGGTACCCTGCAGAAGTGTTGGGGGGTCAGCCGTACTCACTGAAGCCTCCAGTGGACAGGCCCACGCCTTCCCCGCCCGTCAACAGCAGCAGCATGCCCGGTCCTATGGCCCACTACACTAACGGTCACTACTTCCAGTCCCACATCTGGAGCAGCAGCATCCTTCCCACACCCAACAGTGACAGCTCTGGGTCTCAGGATGTAGCCATGTCATTCCACAATGCAGGCCCAGGAGGGTGTACCACGCTGGACTGTGGGCCCCCTGGGGCTCCCCATTACAGGCTCCCAACGAGCTCCACCATGTCCTCAGCCGGCCAGACTAATCTGATGCAAACGGCAGATTACTTGGGTGGGGACTTCCAGACGCCCTACTTCCGCGATCAGAATCTCGGGTTGATGGGCAAGATGCACAGGCCCCCTCTGAGCAGGGTAGGTCCAGAGGTTGGAGACGGCAGAACCGCTCTCATCCAGCACCCAGGGTACAGATAAGCTATGGCCTTGTCTCCACAACCATTATCAAGCCCTTTTGTTTAGTCTTAAGAAACGAAACACAAGAATAAAACTCAACAGATAACTTAAAGGACAACAAGTATTAAGAGGGTAAAATAATATATTTAATGCAGAACAATATTTTTTTTTGTCATTCTTTTGTTTCATCTTGCAAGTGATCAATTGCTGGATTTAGTTCATGCTTTTACCTGCAGCCCAGGTACCCTGTTTCTGAAAGTGTGTGTAAACATAGTCCTCTCTGCTTCTTCCTCCATCATAACACTGAATATCTGTGCCTGGATTTGAACAGAGTCTGTCTTCTCTCTTCTTCAGATCCCCAATGAGACTTTTCTTATGCATGTAAGACAAAATTGAAAGTTATCCCTCATAGGAAAAAAAAAAAAGCGACATTACCTGATATTTTTTCTTTTTTTTTTTTTTGGCTGGAACTGGTTAAGACATTCACTTCGGTGGTGATTTTAAAATTAAGTACAATCACTTTCATGCAGTAATAAAAAGAGAAGATAAAGAGACAGATGGGGAAGGGGCTATAAAAAAAAAACACATAAAGAGGCTTTTTTTCTTTTTTTAATGTTGTGCATAGTAGGACTACTACAGATAAATTCCTTTCAGGCTGTAAATGAAACATTTAATCAGGTTGTTTGTACGTTTTAAAGACAAAACTGGAGCAAATATGACAAAAAAAAAAAATCAATGCTTCTTTCTGCTTATGATGCTGCAGTGAATTCAGGTATTTAGAAGAATTAGCCTTGTTACTATTCATATTTAGTGACAAGATATATAAACATTAAGGGCAGATAAACACGGAAACCCTCCTCTACCTTAAAATGGCCAAAGTCAGGTTGATGAAGACACACCAGTGTGAAACTGTGCCATCACATCTCTTTCCACTTTTCAGATTAGTTTTCCTTTTTATTTTTTAACCAAATGTATTACTTGAATGTTGAGTTCTTCATTTTGCAGGTATTGAAAGGGATCCGTCTGCTTTGTGGAGACTGAAGAAGTTTGTTGTTTTAATGTGACGAAGAATCTAAAGCCAAGGCGGAGCTTCTAACCCCGACGGGGTTTAAAAACCCACTGAGTTGCTACTGATGCTGATGTGAAGTCTGCTCCAATAGACCAAATTGATCACTTGCAAGATCGAGGGAAACGAACCCCTCCTGGGTTTCGGGTTTTAACGTGAAAAACAGCAAATGCATTGTTTATTTTCTTGTACACTGGCTTACCTACTAGACTACTGTAACTTTTAATGATTGTGTGTGACTGCTGCTTGCTGACGCGGGCGCAGATAAGTGAGCATTGAGGTTTGTGTGTGAGTGTGTATGTGTGTATAATAACACAATGACACCTATGTTTTGTTCACCTAACTCCCTAACAGCCCTTAAAAAGCCTTAAGTGTTTGGTCCTTGGACTTTCCTTTGACAATGAGCATGGTTTTAATAAAACAAAACCCAAATAAAGAGAAAGAGGAGGAAAAGGACATACAGAAACAGCAATTTTTACTTTTTTTTGCCTTTTATTTGAATGAAGTTTTTTTCATTAAGAGCAATTCCTTAGAGATTCCTTATGGTTGAAAAGTGAGAAAAAGGAGGAATATTTTGTAATGATATATTTTTAGTAATGTGTAGTTACTGAGCTGTAACTTTTTTTCTAGTTTCAAAGCTTCAGTTTGCAGTTGTGACTATTTATGACTATTGATTTGCTTGTTATTTAAATTTTGTTTTTCCTCTTTGTTTCTTGTACTATTGCTGTGAAATGGAAGAAGGTCCACGAGCCTTTCTTTTGTGTCATTCTGTACGACAGATAAGAGGCAAGAGCGTGAGAGTTGTGCTACTCTTTTTGTAATATTGTAATAATAAAATAAAGTTCTAATTTATGCTTTGAAATGCGTCCAAACTCAGTCATTAGTGATGCTTTGCTTCACCTGGAACCATTTTGAATCTATTTAAAAACTGGTTTTGATTTTTGTTTTGGGTGATTTTGGATCAGACTAAGTAGAAAAAGCTGCTTTTTCAAGTGTGGCGTGATTCTTCAGCTAGAGGAGCAAATCTAAATAGAACGTTGCTTTAAGTGAATAGATTGGTGATAAAAGAATCCTCTCAACCCTTTTTACTTCACCTGAATTCAAAACAATGATTGAAACATGGACACAGCTCCGTGTACCTCTAGGATAGGGATATCAGAACTGGTTTGTGAATTAAAAAAAAAAAAAAAAACAGGTTAATGCTGAGCTTTTGCCAGTGACCCACACCAAAACCCAATTTATGGGCTAATCCATGGCTGGAAGCCTTACTAGTCTGAATAGTCTACAACATTTCCAATTCTTCTTGTGATCAAATAAACAGTTTATGATTTAGCCAAATATTACCCAATTCAATAAGCAATTACAAAGTATTGATAATATGTGTATTTCTTCCATTTTCAGTGCACCTAAAAAGAGAACTGTTTAAATACATTTCTAAAAGCCATATTACCTTAAATTAACATGAAAGTGAGAGGAAACTTTGACTAAAACTGTACAGCCAAACAAGTAACTCATTGCCTCCAAAAGGCTAAAGCACATACAATTTGTAACGGTGTCAGCCTGTGCCGAAGGTGGCGATTGCTGCCCCGATTGCTGTGCTTTCATGCCCTTTCTCTAGGCCTGCTTCTGCCTCATCGCCAGAGGAAGTGGAGTAGACGAAGCAAGCTGTGAAACCTGCAGGGCTGATCTGGCTGCAGTAGATTTAGCTTGTCTGGCTGTGATGAAAATGGGACCTGTATAAAGGGCACGCAGCGGGAGGTGCAGGATCAGCACCTTGGTGATCAGGATAACTCCATGATGGATTTTTAGCTATGCCAGAGGCGCTGGAAGGTTGCGGCCTCGCTGTAAAGGATATGCACCCAGCAGCTCACTTATACGGCTTGTTAATATCACAAATCTTAATTAAAATTGCAGTATTTTTTTAAGGGATTAATTAACACTTTTTACAGCATACGTAACACCTACGTTGCAACACACTTTTACATGTCAGTCACTGAGTGTTTTGTAGTTCCTAATGATATTACTTAAATGTTTCCTTATATATTGCATTTTCATTGCAGAAAACAGTACAGTTTAGTTGGAGACATCCTTCCAAGCTTTTTGTCTCTTAAATAGAACACTGCGTTGGAGTCCTTGTTTATATCATGCAGGCTGAACAGCCATGGAAAAAACCCTCAGGGGTTCTTCAGCCGTTTAGGACCCTCATCTCATTGGACTGAGACGGCATCGTCCTCCTCCTGCTTTCCATGAAAAGGCCTCTCCAGCTACTCCCTGTGGAGAAAGGAGAAGACGTTACAGGATTTGAATCTGTTAAGTCTTGAAAAATCAAACTGCTCTTTGTTTTTGAACCTCTGTCAAATCCACGTGTAGGGTTTTCATGCTGGTCGAACTCCTCTGAAAATCCTGGATCCTCGCTGATGTTGATCAAGTTAGTGTTCCACTTGTTCCAGTTCATACTCTCGACCCTAAGAATACAGGAGAAATGCACTTTTAAATCAATGTCTACTTTATGACACCTCAGATGGTTTTTATTGGAAGAAAAAAAAAAAATCTATTAATCAATCAGCCCTGATCACACAGCTGTGTTTTCTGTTTATCTTACCTGGGACCTTTTTTCTCCTGACTGATTCGTTCTTGCTGAGGTTTCCCTTTTTTTCTAGCAACCGAGATTAGTCAGCAGTGTGAATCAGTTCATGTGCAAATGGCTTTTCCCTCACAGACTAATACATTCCCATAGATTAAACTGTGACAGGAGTCCAACTATTGTGTACAAAAGCAAAAACTCAACATGCAAGACAGATGGTGAGCAATCTAATAATGAACCATTGAAATGTTGGACCCAAAATGTTCACCAGGTTAGAGGAGAGACTATAATCCTCATCATTCTACAAAGACCACCATTAATAAAGCTGATCAGATTGAAATGAAGCTTTTTTAGTGGATTAAAAGACATGGAATAGCAATGCTATGTAATAAACTTTATGTAATAATTAATTTAGTTCATATTCAATTTTTAAATGTTAAATGCTTAGCTAAATTGGATTTTTTTTTTCTATCAGACTAAATGAAATGGTAAATTGTAAATGGCCTGTACTGGTAGAGCTGGCAAAATTAATCAAGAACTTTTCAAACGGAAATCTATAAGTCTATATTTCACAGCACTCTGTTCAAACAGCTAAAATGAACATTAAGAGGCAGACCTGAAACACCTTCGCCGATCTTCTCCAAGAGCTGTGAAAAGCTTCTTCTCCACCCCAGAGCGAAAACACCCCTTTAGACAGCAGGGTAGCCTTTTCTCCATGTCCAAGATGGTGCCAGCCCTCTGGAGACGATCACAGCAACTTATTTAAACCTCACTCCCTTTAATAAATAATGCCAGGGACAGCATTTGCTCACCTGCAGGTTCCAAAGGCTTTTGCTCTCCTTGGTGATGTTTTCCACAGTGCGGTTCATGAGGGCTATGAGCATGTTGAGCAGCAGGATGTAGGTGAGAATGATGTAGCCAATAAGCAGGATGTAGAAGACCTCCATGTACTTGTAATCATTGGTAAAGTCGATATCTCCCATCCCTATGGTGAACTTGAAGAGCTCCAGGGTGGTGTATGAGAAGTTTCTATAGGTGGGTTTGACACACTCTGAATTAGGTGCAATGGTTCCAAAAAGTCCTCTTGCTGTCGCTGGCTGCTCTGGCTCTACCAGCAGTGTTACCACAGCTAGAACAGGAAACACAATGTTGCTTTAATATTGTATTTAAACAGTCCTGGTTTCTAATATGAAAATACAGTTTTTCTGTAATGCAAAGCTGGGGTGGAGGTACTAAAAATCCTGGAGTGGTTAACTCTAAATTAGTTTGAGCCAAGATAAAATACCTGCTGAGAATCCAAAGAGATAAACGAGGTAAACAAAAAGAAAGTGCAGGATATCACTGAGGATCATCTGCAAAGAAAACAGAAGTTAGAAGGCCTTAGAACAAAGTGTCCTCTGGGATGCTGACTGCAGCTGAGTGGAACCCTACCTTCTGTATCATGACGCTGTAGACGCCCATGTGTCTGTCGCCCCTGGAGTAGTAGAGCACGTTCATCCAGCTGAGAGCTATACATATCACCAGGAAGCCCAGGTATTCATCCCTGTCCGCCACATATAGAACGGTGGAGATCAGGAAAAGGAGCCCCTGCGTAAAACTGTGAACAACGTGGATGTTAGACTGACCCAGAGGGACCCATGTTAACCTGTATTAACTCCACTTTAAATATATTTATTCCCAGTAAACGTTTTTCACATTCGCTGTTATAAAAAACTATTGAATATATTCTATGGGTTTTTTATTCAATTCAAAAAATGCATCTGTTGTCCAGGTGAACACTGAGGTATGTATGCTCCTCCATCACCTCCACTTTTTTTTACATGATGGTAGTAGCATTGAACTTATGCCTTTTTTGTTTTTTTCCTGAAATCTACAACTTTCTCTATTGTTTTTCTCATCCAGGATCAGATGGTTGTTTCCACAGCATGCGGTGGTTCACCAGCTTCCTGTACTCAGCCTCTTGTCCATCTCTAATGCACCCAGGAGAGTCCTCTGAGTGTTTCTTCAGATGACAGGACAGTCTTGTATTGAAGGTATACATAGTGAAATGAAATGGTGGAATGTAGTTCCCCCATGGTGCTTCTGTGCTGCTGACTACTTGATGTCACAGTTGACCCTTTAGCCTCAAGAACTGATCTGGTTGACAGGTAGTCTTTGATCCGGGTGTTTGCTGAGGACTCCACCGCAGTCTTCTGGAGTTGATGAAGAACTTTGTCCTTACAGTGATGCTGGTGAAGATTCTCAGTCATCCAGGTCAAAGTCATTCCAAAAAAGTAAAAAAAAAAAGAATCCACTGGACTTTGTTTCCAAGGTTGAAGACGTTTCGCTTCCGAGCCAAGAAGCTTTTTCAATTCAAAATGTCGGAAATAGCGTTGAGCTCGAGGCTTTATAGTGTGGACCAAAAACAAAGCCTTGTTTTGGTTTAGAAAACATGCAAATTGAACCGGACGAATAATCCGCCCTTAGGAATGTGGGTCGATTGGCTTCTTTGTTAGCCTGTAATATGTGATACCTGTCTATGTCTCTGAAAGGGGTGTTAAAGGGAATTGTTGGCCTTGCTAAACAGGCAAGGTGTTCTGTTTCCTCTGTAAGGGGTAAGGGGTTGTGATGATAGCGAGAAGGAATCAACTCAATTGCTGCATTGTAGGTTTTTGAAAGCTGAAATCCACACCCTCTGTTTAAGGTTGGTTTTCCTTTCTTGACATAGATGGCTTCCTTCAAGCCCCTCTCAAACCACCTATCTTCTTTGTCCAAAATGTGAACATTCTTGTCCTCCAAAGAATGTCCTTTGTCCATAAGGTGTAGATGTACTGCAGAGTCTTGTCCCGAGGAGGTCGCTCTTCTGTATTGGGCCATGCGTCTGTGGAGAGGTTGTTTGGTTTCTCCAATATAAAGATCACAGTATTCTTCACTGCAGTGAACTGCATACACCACTCTGCTCATATTTGGTCTGGGGGTTTTGTCCTTAGGGTGCACTAGTCTCTGTCTCAGGGTCTTGTTTGGTTTGAAATGTACTGGGATTTTGTGTTTGGAGAAAATCCTTTTGAGTTTTTCAGAGACTCCAGAAACACATGAGATGACGATCATCACAACCCCCAGGTGTTCTGTTACAGTGGACAGAACACTTTGGTGTCAAAACAATTAGTATGGTGAACTCCCTGGTTAAATAACATGGAAGAAAACTCACTGTCAATAGTTTGAAATTTGAGCTGTGGAGATGAAACGTCACAGTAACAATCCTGAGTTTTCAAACTCCCTTTAAATCTCTGTCTACTTGTTTGGTCAGAAAGCCTGGCAGAAAGACTTTAAAGACAAGGATATAATCTTGCTCCCATGTTTCAGTAAAACACATAACACTTCATTCCCAATAACCTGGCTCAGTCCTTGTTAGGACTTGGAGTTCTTCTTACTAAAGGTCACACATTGCTCATAATGATTGACAGAAGAGATGGCTTGAATTTTCACCTCCTCTGTTTTCTCCTTCATCCTGCTCTGCAACCCCTGCCCTCCTTTTCATCTCAACTGGGTATTATAGCTGACATATTATTTCAGGATTTGAGAGAATAATGGGCTGCTTCCTGGTGTAAAAAAACAACTTTTAGTAGTCCCTATGGTTACACATCATAACAAAAATCAACGGTGAAAAATCTAAGACCAAAGTTAAACATCATCAGACAAAAACTTTGATCCACAAATGGAGGAACTGAGGAACTAGTTGAGCTACTCTAAAGTGTAGCCATCTTGAGCAGTGCAGTTCTAGAAAATTATGCAATAAAATATTACCATTTACTGTAAGATCATGTTTAGATAGCATTTTAGATTTTTCAAAACCTCTTTTGTAATTGAATATTTAAAAACTGGCATGCCTGTTACCCAGCTTTTTTGTATCCTAATACCACAGAATAAAGCTTAATAAACTCCTAAAAGTTGCTGAGTTATTAGAATGAGTTAACAATGGACATTTTATGTATCTTGATAGCACTATTTTATTTGGTAAACATTTTGTAATACATATTTCTTTTTCTTTCAACTTCATAAATGCCAATATGAGAAAATGTGACTGGGTTAGGTAGAAAATCCCAATAGATTCCTCTAAATACTATTGAATTTCAGTGTTCTATGACAACTGTTTAGCATATCTGTTATGAAGAATTATCTGAGAAAAATCGACTTACAATAGAATCTCATAATATCCATCAATCAGCAGTGTCTGCATCTTTGGCCTCTTCCTCGTCATGTCCAAGATCTGAAGGGGTTAAGAGATCATTAAAATATTCACTGAACCTAAACCTCCACAAGATGGCGATATAAACCACAGGATAAAAAACAGCTCACATACCCCAGTGACAAAAAAATAACAATTTGCTAATAATGTCACCAGCTGGCCTGAAGCATACAGGACGCTCCATGTTTTGTCCACTTTAAACCAACCCTGCAGGAGACAGAGGAGACATCAGGACAAGCTTTGCTCCGGTCTGTTAAACAGCGTGTAACTATTTACCCTTAACTCCTGCCACTTTCTTTTGTTGTAGGCTACAACAGTAAAGATGGACAGGTACACAAGGTAGAACAGGAAGTTGAATAAAAAAAATCCAGCTCCAAACTTCTTCCACTTATCCTCCAGCAGGCAGCTAAGTGGTTCTGTCTCCAGCATCGCGTGACGGTTCTGTGAAGATATACAATATCATGGCTTATTGTGCAGATTCAGTTTTTTCCCAATGTGCCAGCAGAGCTGGAACTCACAGGAATGTCACTGCCGTAGATTATAATTTCCAAGACAGAGTTTTTCTCGAATGAATCCACAGAGGACAGGTCATACAGGGAACTGTGGACAGGTCCGTAAACCCACTCTGTGAATTTACGGGATAAGTGCTTGAACTGATTCTCATGAAATTCTCTTTGTAGAATGTAAGAAAAAATCTGCAGACAAACAAAGAGGAAGTAAGAAAACCCACCAGTGAGAGTGCAGATTCACTAAATACCAAACAGATTATAATCCTCTCAGACCTGGAACCTCCAACCAAAAAATCTCATCTTTAAAAAACCAAACTCTAAATGTTTATTTACCTGATTTCTGCCCAACTTGGCAGCCAGTTTGAGAGGTGTTAGACCTTTCTCGTTCTCTTTCTCCTCCAGCTTTATCTTAGGATGCAGTCGGGCATTGTTCTTTAGGATACGGTCATAAATGGCCGTTATAAATTCTGTGTTCTCCTTTGTGTTATCAGCCACAAACACCAGAGCATGCAGCACTGTGTTGCCGTGAGAGTCAGTCATCTTAGCATCCGCTTGTAGATACTCATTCTCCATGAGGTAGTCCACTATGTCGGGTTGGTTGGTGCAGGCTGCTAGAGACAATGGCAGCTCACCTAAATGAAATGATCATACAAAAAACATCTGAAATTAATTTTAAAAGCAGAAAATCACCAGATTTAATTTACTTTTGATTTTTTCCTATACACACAAGCTCAAGCAACGAATGTAAATATGGCTACACTTTTTTGAGGTAAACCCTTTGCTAAGCAAGTTCAGGGTCTATCATATATCTGCCATAGTTTAAAGTCGACTGGATACCTGACTTTAAAGCATAGTTAACAAATATACAATATAACTAAGGTAAGGGCTTTGAGTAGGTCTTGCCTAAACTATTTTTTGATGTCTTTTTGGGGTTGTTTTGGTTTAAGACCCACTTTTCTGTCTTAGGTATCTGGTCCAAATTGCCACATTCAGATGAAAGGGAAGTGGTCGGGATGACCATTAACTTTAAACTACTGGAAAACCAGCGTCACTGTGGCTAAATTTACATCACCATTGAGTGAAAGGCTTCTTGACCAGCTAATACATGCCTTTACCTAAAAGCAGGGGTCTCCAACTCTGATCCTCAAGATGTACTGTCCTGCAGGTTTTCGATGCTTCCCTGCTCTAACACATCTAAAAACATATGAATGGTTAGTTACCGGGCCTTTGCCGAACTGGATGACATGCTGAAGAGGTAATTCAGTCTTTTGAGAAGCAATGCGTCTAAAATCTACAGGATAGTAGATCTTTAGGATAAGGTTTAAACCTGCTTAAAGCATGGCTTCCAACCCTTCTTGGAATGAGCCACCATCTAATCTAAACGAGGTCTCCCCATTCTAATAACACACTGATTGACTGTCCTGCCAGGATGATGCCAGAAGCTTTCCTGATTTAGATTTTTAATTATCTAGATTGTAGCCAAACCCTGTTTTATGCCAACAATTTTACATAAAGTGGAAAGTAAGGAGTTTTATATGAGGAAGAAACACAAATTTACCAAAGTAGAAGTTGGGTCCATCATGTGGCTGAAAGAACTTCCCACATGCTTTAGCATGAACATCTGCACCTTTGCTGACCAGTAGTTTCACATAGTTAATACTCCTTCTCTCAATGGCTATATGAAGAGCAGTCTGACCTATGAGAACCCAGGGAAAATGTATGGTTATTGTTTTTTGTTGCAAACAAAAATGAAAGTAATAACATATCATTTGCTACTGTTATTAAAATAGCACAACATTGAAAGAGAAAGCAGACTGGCAAATTTAAGCTTTCGTTCAGAGGGAAATTGACCTTTATAGTAGCTACTGGTGTAGGCTGCATTCACAAACTCTTTAATGTCACCAATCCTCTCTGAAATGTCGATCAGCACGTCTATGGTTTGGTTTTTGCCATCTTTGAGGTGCAGTAGAGCCTTCATCAGGGCGGTTTTTCCATATGACTGATCTGTAGATGCAACCGTTAGATGGGGGAATCAGAACTCAGATCTCCTTTGATCAGTTTGGGACACCTGCTGCATCATAGCTGCTCTCTCACTTACACAAAGAGTCAGAGAGTTTCTTCATGCTCTGATGCAAGTACTCGTACAGGCCGTCCAGTTTCCCAGGGTCCCTGCTGGCCACTGCTTCAAATAATCTCTCGATGGTAAAAGTGGAGCTATCCCTCTTTTGCTCTGGTGGCTCACCTCGAATCCCTCTGGAAACAAAAGGTGTTGCATATTGCAGGGTTTACTGTGAGTCAAACAGCCTATTAGTCTATTTTAATCAGCAGTGTGTGGTTTGATAGCACACAGAACCTGTTGTAATTTAATTGTAAAAAATGGCATAAATCAGTTTATGTCTCAGTGCAGAGACTCACTTGTCAAAGTTGAGATTGAATCGGATTGCAGGCTTGAGTGGTTCCATTTCTTCTTGGTAATCAGTGTCCATTGGGGCCTTGGGCTCCTCTTTGTCCATACCTAAAGCAGAAGCTAAACCATCCTTCTTTGGTGCCTTCTGCCTTGATCTTTCTTCCTTTGTTCTGTCATCAGTCTCCAGATGGAAGTCCGACATCGGTGACTTCCTCATCTTTACCTGTAATGCTGCCAGTCTACAATAAAACATAATATGTGTTTATCATTCAGTGATTCTCAAAGAGGGCACCTGAACAAGTGAACAAACAACTCTTTAGTATCATCAAACAGGTTATAATGTTATTTTTATTTACTTGGCCTATGTAGTTTAATTCAAATTTTGTTCTAGAATTTCCATAAAGTACAAATCCAGGTTAGTTAGCCATGGCCTGCCTGAATCATTGGTAATTAGAGGTACGGCTTGTCTTGTGGTTGAGGTGCCACGAGGGGGTGGGGGCAGTGATTGCTTAGCTCGGGTCCAAACTAGCAGAAATAAAAAGTACTAAGATTATTCTTCTTATAATGTTATTAGTAGTTATAGCATTTATATAATGTTGTTATTTATATTATTAGATATGTAAATTAGAACCCTACCGATTAACTGACGGGCCGATTTATGAGGCCGATTTTAGCATCTGAATCATTAATCGACATCAGCCAAAATGTGGCCGATATAAAAATTCTATTGCGTTGATTCTGCACCTCTGCCCCCCCCTGCACCGCCACTCACCGCAAACACATATGCTCACAGCTGCTGGTAGCATAAGGACAGAGTTAGAAAAAGAGGGAGAAACTTATGAAGGTAATTTAGAATTAAAACTGTTTGTACATTGTAAGTGTGAATTTAAAGTTTGAAGAGTGATATATAATTTTTTTTATTGTAGAATTAAAAAGGAAAATCACAAATACAATTTCTTTTAAACCTGTTCACATTTTAACAACAAGTACACTAATTGTGCTCTACAATTTGCACATCAAAAACCTCTTGCATTCTTAGTTTTGCTTTAAATGATCCAGGGCTTATGTTGCAAAATCATTTGTGCATTGTAAGCTTGAAGCTTTGTAATTGTATATTTTATTTGTCACAATTACAAAAAAAGGTACACCTCAAAGTACAAGTACACAAATTGTATTCTGTAATTTCTGTGAGTTGCACTCCAAAAATGTCTCCCAGAATATAACAAAATAATTGTGAAGCTTTTAATATAAGTGTTTAAATTGGTTTTGCACCAACAAAAATGAATGGAAGTCATTGTTGATGTGCAACTCACAGAACACAATTTGTGTACTTGTACTCAAGAATTTGAAAGGGTGTAACTTTTTTTTTTTATAATTATGACAGATAAAAAAAAAATCTTCAATTACAAAACACCAAACTTACAATGCACAAATAGTTTTGCAACAACAGTTTTGGATCATCAGGAGCAAAACTGAGAATTTAAGACATTTTTAATGTGCAACTTTCAGAACACAATTTGTGTACATGTACTCAAAAATTTGAAGAATTGTAACTTTTTTGTAATTGTGACATATGAAAAAAAATTACAATTACAAAACATCAAACTTACAATGCACAAATACTTTTGCAACAATAGTTTTGGATCATCAGGATCAAAACTGAGAATTTAAGACATTTTTAATTTGCAACTTACAGAACACAATTTGTGTACTTGTACTCAAGAATCTGAAGAGTTGTAACTTTTTTGTAATTATGACATATGAAAAAAAAATTACAATGACAAAACATGAAACTTACAATGCAAAAATACTTTTGCAACAATACTTCTAAACCATTAGGAACAAAAGTGGGAATGTAAGAGATTTCTAATGTGCAACTTACAGAACCTATTTGTGCACTTGTACTTAAAATTTGAACAGCTGAAAAGAAAATGTGATTTTCTTTTTTTATTCAATTACAAAACTTGTAATGTAACTCTCTCTGCAACTTCAAATTCACACTAATGCTGTGTGCAACAATGCTCCAATAGTTTTAGAAAGTGAGGAGTTTACTCCATGGTAAGCTGTGATGATGTACAGTAAAACTATATTTTAGTGCCCCATGACAACAAATCCTCGTGCAAACACACCGTTAGGGTGCATTAAGGAGAGCAGATGAGTTTTATATGTGCTAGTTTTGGAATATTACCATTTTAACTCTTTGTGAAATAAACATAATTTTAAAGGAATTTTGTTTGGGTGTTTTAAAAGATCCAGCATTTCTTCTTAAATCTAGTTCAGTGCCTTGTGTTCAGTGGAACAGAGAACTTTTTAGTTGCTTGTAAATATGACAAACTTCTATTTTTAAGGTTTTTGTGAATGAGTCTTAAAAATAAATCAGTTACAAAACATCTCCCAATTGCAGTTGTGTTATCACTTTAAGCTGTATGCGGCTGCTTGTTTTCAATTTTAAATGCTCATCTGTTAAAGTGAAATCTAATTAGCAGAATACACTAAATTATTTTATATTCATTTTACAGGCAGAGGGGAACAGTTATCTGTGGAGCCACTTCATGAATGATCTAACAGCAGTTTGATGATGCATCTGCGGTGTTAAAAGTCTGTCAGTTCGCCACCAGTCACGCAAAAAACACCCCTCATTTGAGGCAATATCTCAATCAGCACCAAAAATATTTATTATATTTATAGTCTTATGCTGATACTGCTCAAATTAAAGTTGCATATTTTAATTATGTAGGTCTATGTTTTGTTTCTTTGTCTTAAATCATATTTTTGGTTGGACTTTAGTTGGACAGTGCATATCCTGTCTATATGCATCGGTCAATATCTGATATCAACCTATTTCTGATATTGGCCAATATATTTTTTTAAAGCGCCTAATATCAACGTTCACAATCCTATATCGGTCAGGCTCTAATATAAATATTTTATATATATTTATAGATTATATCATATTACTATATCAGCACTGCTTCTAAAATAACAATTATTTTATTCTTATTATAATACTCCTTTTTTTCTTTTCCTCTTTGTTGATTCTTTGCTTATATTCCATTCACCACTAATTTTTCAATAATATCATTATGACCAATCTATGCCACACAACCGCTACTTATGTTTGTGTCCGTATGTTGCATATTTTCTTCCCTTCTTCTCTCCAAATGTTTCCAATTCCTAGTTTTCTTGTTGTAATGAACATAATATAATAAAAAAGAGACACAGTTCTATGACTGTGAGGGATTACACAGTCTTCTTCACTTGCTGTGCTTTGTAGTTTGTTTTGATTAGTTTGGATTGTTTCTGTGTATGTATATGGGTATGTATGTATATGTATATATGTATGAGTATGTATGTGTATATGTGTGTATGTATTTATGTATATGTATAGATTATGGGAGATGCTGTTTTAATGTCCATATAATTTTATTTCATTTGTATTTTTTATTTCATCTTTTTTGTTCGACCCCAGGAAGAATAGCTGTAGCTTGCTACAGCTAATGGGGATCTTAAATAAACTAAACTAAACTAAACTACTCATTCACTACAAAATTCACTAAATCTCTCCCCAGTTCCCGCCAGTGTGGATCCTGGGTTGGTTGAGTTCCATCAGAGGACATTACAGAAGCTATTGACATAAATGTGGTATACTACCCTTAAAGTTATATCTCAACCACTACTTTAGCTAAAAGACATTCCTCCAAATCTTCCTGAATGTATCACAATCAAAAAGCCATCTTACAGATAATCTAATCTCCTCTTTCAGAAGCACTTAGGAGACATTAGTTCTTTAACCCTTTGCCTCAAAGACACTTTACTCCACCACAGCCAGACTCAAAGAGCAGATCTTATTTACACTAAATGCTTTACATTAGGGGAGCTGCACGGTGGCGCAGTCTGTAGCACTATTGCCTTGAAGCAAGAAGGTCCTGGGTTCAATTCCTGTCTTTTTGTCAGGAGTTTAGATGTTCTCTGCATATGTGGGCATTGTATCTTCCATAACCCAACATGGCTGTTGGATTATTGTTGGCTCTAAATTCAGCTTAGTTGTGTAAGCATGGCTGGATGTGTTTCCCTGCAATAGACTGGTAACTTTTCCAGGATACACCCCATATTTCACCTACAGACTGCTGGAGATAAGATAGACATGAGCCTGATGAGTAGTTTATTTAAGCTCAATGCATGATTTATATATTGCATAGTTTTATTACAAATTTTTTCACTTGCTATTTTAACAGAATTTAAAAAAAGATATCTTTATATAATGTATGTATTTGCTTGCATTTTACCCTTTTTTTTACTTTAATTTAAGTAAGTTATATGTCTCAAGAGGAAAGTTTCTTTATAAAGTCATTATCAGTGGCTACAGCCGCTGACAGGAAGAGTATTTTTAAACAGGCTTTGTTGCGATGAAGTATCAAGAAACCTCCGAAATTGTATTACAGGTGCTCACAGTTATCTATCATGTTCTTTTTATTACAGGATCTGATTTTTTTACAGAAGTCTCTAAGAGCTCTAGAACAGTCCCCTAGATAGAGCAAATGTTTGTATTCTCTTGATAGGTTTCATTTTCAAGTTACATGCTTCTGATGCTGCCATCAAACACGATAGCAGGGGACTTAGAGAAGATATGTAGCACCCTGCTTCAAATTACACAACCTTCCTCAGGAACTCTGTGCTGTCACTGAAGTTATTGAAACTTCTAATACATTACTCTTAGACGGAGGGGGCAATTCTGCAATATAACAGAGACAAGTAGTACTTCAAACAGAATCAGAACAAATGCAAAAATACTAGCCCATGATATTCATTCATCATCATCATCTGTGCCTATTTCTCTGTTCAAGTCTAGCTAATCTGGTACAAATGAGTCTTTAACTCGAGGCATTATCAAGGCTTTTTTTTTCTCACAGTGGAACAATGAAACTTCTTTTGAACTCGAGAATATTCCGATGTAAGAACTTGTGGTATTTCAGACAAAAGGTTCTCAGTGTGTCAGATGGCTCCCTTTTCAAACAGATGTTGTGGGGACAATGAGTCCAGGGTAGCCATGATCTTGCCTCTCATCTTCACAAGATTCTAGACTCAGGTTTTAGAACTACCAACCAATCCAACCATATCTAAGTATGGACTCTATAGTCCAGGGTTTGGGAACCTAAGTTTGGCTTTTTGATGATTGCTTCTGGCTCGCAGATTTCGGCTTTTCAGATAAAGCTTAAAATCGATTTTCCACTGCTCGTATCCTCTTCAGGACAGCAGTTGGCTGCAGGAGC